TCATGTTTACACTTTCGTGTGTTTGTTTAGAATTTTAATTTTGGTGTTTAGCTGTTTAACTTTGGTGAGCACAGAATATTCTCCCCTTTACTTTATAATTAAAATTAATTAGTACGGTATTAATATTAGTTTAGTTCCCGCAACAAATCAATTAAAATCTCTCCGTAATCTTATACTATAAATGATATAATAATCTTTGATCTTAATTAAATTAATTATATGGGTTAATACGTGAATTTGCCATCGCTTTGTTTGTTTGGTACTCATATTCAAATTAATTATATCTTTTTTTTTTCAATAACATTTTTTAATTTCAAGGCATATTTTAATTTAATAACATTTGCTAGAATTTTTTTAGAATAATCGCCATAACAAAATTATCATATTACATTTGAACATGCGGAAATATTTCTATTATAAAATTTCAATAGTATCCAATTGAGCAACAATAAGGTTGAATTATTATTACTATTTTTTTTTTTTAGAATTTCAATTGAAATTAACGATTGCGACATTTATTATGACGTTTCATTGACGTACTACGAAATTTCGTTGCAGTATGTAATTTTCGTTAGAATTAAATGATAATTCCAAACCGTGATAAATAAAAAAAAATAATAATAATGAAAATTCTAAATATAATCTAATTCCAAACGAATAATTGAAAAATCATATTAAGAAACTAAATTAATTTAATTCAAGTTAAAAAAACAACTTGAGTGTCAAATTTATTATCCTATTAGGATCCGACACTTGGGTATTACCTTGTTGGGGTCCTTGTAGGTTGTTTTAGTTGTTTTTGTTGTTAGTTAGTTTAGTTTCGAGTGTTTTTTTATTCTAGTGTTGTTAGCCGGGATTCTAGGCGGTCTTCTGACCTTTTCTCCCACTTTTTCAGCTGTTGTTGACTGTTTCGTATTCAGCCGTTGGCTGCTGTGTATTCGCACACTTGTTCATTTTGATTTATAATATTATATATTGTTTTGGAAAAAAAAAAAAAAAAGTTAAAAAAAACATAGTTATATGTTTACTCTATACGTATGCTTAGGGAAAAGTAATTTGTTGTCACCAAAGATGTTTTTGACATGAGTTTTGTTTCCTTTGTTTGTCTTTTTGCTCAAGTCAAATTAGTGTTAAGGTAGTGAGATTCATTCGGAATATTTTGTTTTCCCTTTTTTGTTGGATTTAATTGTCTTCATAAACAAATTTTCATTATTTAGTTTCTCAAAACATTGGTTCTGAAATTTAATTAAAAATCCTGTATTATTATTCATTCCCTCTCTTTGTGATTGTAACCATGAACACTAGAATTTGCTACTATTAATGGTTAAATAAGCTTAAGCAACGCAATTATAATGCAATCATTATTCATATAAAAGGATTAAAAGTACCTTTTGCAAATTGTAAAGTCCCACTCCCTTTACTGGTTTAATTTAATGGCCCATGTTTATAAAATAGAGCATTTTTTTTTTTTTTTTTTTTTTTTTT